CCCATATTTTCTTCCTAATTACATCTAATATGCATATTAGATTTACTTTTATATTCGGTGTTTTTAATGTTCAATTGAGGCTTTATACTTGTTATATCTTTGAAAGAGATCGAACTCATCTGGATAAATAATACTCGTGGCGTTATTACGAGTTACACATTTAAATAAGATTGAAAATAATTCATACAGGTGTAACTTGTAAGTTTTTTTTCTTTCTAGACGTTGGGCAATATAGTTGATTTCCGTTGATCTTTGGTTGTGGAAACCTGAAAATAGCAGTGGGCGTTCTTATGTTGTTACACAATATAAAGGCTGCATACAGATAATAGAGTGAGCTATAGGAACTTAAATATCTTGGTCGAAACAAGGTAAATCTAATAAGGAAGGTGTTCTAGTAAATTTTTGATTTCCAAGCCCAAATGTTAGGATAACAAGATTTGGATGATTATGAACTGAGCTTCTTTAATATGGTGGTATGATCGTAGAAACTTCTTCTGGGGGCCGAACCATTTTGTGGCTAGTATATCATCTATTACTAAAATAGAATAACTGAAGTACGAAAGATTGAACTTTAGGAACTTCCCCAGCTGAAATTGAATGAAGAGAAGCACATTTTCTCTGTAGCAAATTATACTGGTAAAGTACTAGTACCAATGGTATATTCATTACTCAGATTTGTTGAAACAAGAACCATATTAGTATTCTTGAACCATAGAAACTCTTGATGTAGAATGACTTCATTTCTTAATCCTTCCATGGTATGGCAGTAGCATTTTCAGTCTAAGCTGTTAAAATTTTAGGGGCTTTGAGAATTGGGGAAATCATTTTGCACATCAACGTCAATAGATTATCAATAATCAGTTGATTGCTTCCTTTGACTTGGCTAAGGAGTGACATTGAATTTTAAAAAAAGAAATCTTGATAAGAATCATGGCCTGTTTGAGCTCCATATTTTTGTGTAAAATGCATTTTTGAATAGTTGATTGATGGAGAATGTATGGTTAAAAAAATAAGGAAAAATTTTCGATTTGCGGGTAATATTATTTTATTTAAGAATGTGTGGTTGAAAAGAAGAGAGAAAAATATATTTTGAAAATAATGGGGATCAAACTAGGGCATAAAAAAATCACCATCAATTTAATTCTTTTGTATTTTGGTGTAGCTAAAATTTCTTGAATTAGGGATTGTGATTGGTGGATTGGAGGTTGAAAGGGATTATTTGGTTGATGCAATTTCAAAAGTTTACTTGGCGGACCAAAGGTATCAGTAAGATTAATTTTTCTTATTACACTGTAGTATAGGGCTATAACTGAATTTTTGGGGAATATGAACTGAACACTTGAAACTGGATGGAATGGTTCCCTGATATTGGTTTGCAGGTTATGCGTATCAAATTTTCAGTATCACGAGGAAGCAAAGTGATTGTTAAGGGGTGCCTTCTGTGCTATGGTCTATTTGTTCAAAACTGACAAAAAATTTTACCATGTTTTAAACTTATGACTGACTTTGAAGGAAGTATTCTGGTATAACCTTAATTTCTTTGTAAACGGGTGAAAATGCATTGCTCTCCGTATTATTTCTGTGTTTGACTCAGTGTAAGGATGGAGCCAGCCAAAGTTAATAGAAATTGCTATTCCCCTGGGGAGTCATGAATATGTTTGATCATCCTGAAATTTGATTCTGGCCATTTAAAACAAAAAAATTGTAAACTCAATCTTTTCTATGCTTTTCACTAAAACCTTTGAGGCAAAAATATTGAAATGTAAAGGTTAATAATAAAATAATAAGCTAATTACCATGATGATTAGCAGTCCATTTGCTCCATCAGGATTTAAGATTTAAATTTTTTAATCATTCGTAAAACCCAATAGCATCATCTGAAAATTTTAAAATCTTAGTGGGTGTGTAATGTAGAAGAAGCCTACCCCTAGCATACCTCATTTTTCACTTTGCAACAAATAGTGCTGCTACTATCCACGAATTGCAAAAACCCAGATGGTATCATTTAACCAAATTTGATGATCTATCAAGTGTAATACTGTAATTTGACGCCTGTAGTATGCCTAGCATAAAAGCTGTTGTCAAGCCTGACCAGCTTTTTGAAAGCGTCTGCTGCTTTCAAGGGCTATTTGGTTGGGCATTTTAAGTTTGGGTGGGTATTTTTATTTTGATTCGATGCTTGCATGTTAATATTTATTTGAGCAAGACCAGAGACCTCTTGTTTCCGCACAAATATGTTAGAACTTTAACATCTTTTTATTACAATATTTTAAAAAACTTTTCAGCACGAAAGTTAGTTGAAGATACAAATGTCTTGTTCTGTGGATGCTCAAACTTGAACATCTAGTTACATTTTGTAATATGGTTAAAAGGCAATCTCTCATTCTTAAAACTAGCATTCTTAAGACCAAAAAGTCGGGCTGAAAGAGGGGAAACTCTTCATTCCCGGTTCTCCAGTAGCTGAAACCTCCAGAACTACAAGAATCCTTAGTTAGAGTGGAATATCCCAAATCAACACCTTTTGAGTGAGATCTTGAGAATAGTGCTCTTTTGAGAGCACAATACGATAAAAGTTGGAAGCTGTGTTATCGGATAATATTTGTGATATATTTCTAAATACAAAACATCTTCAATGTCTTCATTATGGTTGGTGAATTCTACAGGTTATAGATATGCTGCTTTTCAAGGGAACGGAAGAGTTAAGCAACATTGTGGAACATGCAAAGCAGAGGCACCATATTATTGGACAATATGTGGTAGGTCGTCAAGGCCTTACGCATGACCTGGGAATAAAGGATCAGGGCAACTCCAATTTCCTGAAAAATTTCTATAGCGGCAACTATTCCTGAACCTTCTTTCCTTGTGGATCTGTTTCGCGTAGCTTTTCAATTGAGTAGAACGAGTAATAAAGAGAAGTTTGCTTGTGTTTTCTTGCTCCTCTTGGGTATTATAAACAACATTTATTCCAGTGGTGACTGCTTTACATGAAACCAAGTAATTTAGTCAACCTTTGTAATTGTTACTTTGGGTTTTATGATTTTGTCTCTACTCATTTTTCTCTATTGCATTATTTTTACTGTTGGTTTTTTCTATATTGTCCCAATTAAATTAGATTTGGCTAAAGAAGGAACACAAATATTCCTCAATGCAAGCTTCGGGCATTGTGTTTTCAAGGAGATTGTGAGTGAATTCTCGGATAATAGTGCTTTTTTTAACTAGTTCATCTCCTCTTCAAAAGGGTTTCCGATACAAAGAAGTATCAGAGCATAGGTGTGATTTGTCTATGCTCGCCTCGAGATCATGATGCAATGAAAAAGCGCTAAAGAGATAGGTTAAAGTTATTATCTTGTGAAATATTATTTAAATTACTTATTTTGAATCGAACTATTGTACACTTAAAAAGTTAAAATAAGTAATTTCTTAAAACTTATTTAAATATGCTTGAAAAGAAAAATTAGCTCAATTTTAAATTATTAAAATTAGATTTTTAATATATTTTTAATAAATATTAATAAAATTTGTGATTGAAAAGATAAAAATGTAATCCCTAAAATGGGGGCAAACTAGGGCTGTAAGCAAAAATTGTAAAATCGAAAAATCAAGCCGAAATCGCATTTTAGAAACTGTCAATTTGGTGCCATGTGGACCCGGTTAGCGAAATGGTTTTGACTCAAACCAAACTCGTCAAAATGGTTTGGTTTAGGTTTGAGAATTTTAATTGCGGTTTAAAACCAAACAGGACAAGCGAAAAAATACATAAAAATAAAAAAATGAAAAAATGAAATTTTTTGAAAATTCATCCAAATATGTAAAATTCAATAGTTTTGTCATTTGTGAGTATTTTTGTCAATTCCTAATTTTATAATACAGATATATTATTATTATTATTATTATCCAATAATCCTAATATATATTTAATAATTTCAAAACTAACATAATTTATCAAAAGCCTTTTTCCTATTCAAAATTTAGATGAACTCCAGTTGACACTCAACACAGTTTTGAACCTCCGGCACCCCACACTTCTTTTTCAGATTTTTCACCCACTTCAAAGTTGAATTGAAGTCCATTATACCAAATCGGAGACAAAGAGATCCTAAACTTTCGGCGATAATATTTGCTACAAATAAAGTTTCAGATCAATAATTTTTTGGAGCAAACTAAGATAAGAATCTGAAATTAAATGTGTTTCGTAACATCATATATACGTAAACTTGTGTAATTGTTATGTTTAGATATTATAAACAATTGCTTTATTATTGTGGTTGGTTATTTTCTTTGTTTAATCAGTATCTTTTTTTTCCAGATATGATGATCACGAAGTCTTATTGGACATTATTATATTGTTTGGACCTTATAGTTTAGTAAACTAATATTGTAACATTATTATATCGTCATTAGCCTAAAGAAGGTGAACAAAAATGAAAAAAAACTATGTTTTAGTTTATTGTGATTTCACTTTGATTTAGTTGATATTTAAATTTATAGTAGATATATTTAGCCCCTATTTGAGCCATATTTTTCATATCATCATAATGAGAAAATTGACTATTGAAGAGGAGGTTGGGTCCCACACATGAAATAGTAGGTCAACAAAGGCGGTTGGACTTGTGGAATAACGGTCCAAAATTTCATTTTTTTGTCCCAAAAATTTGGTTTAAACAATGGCTTAGTTTGTTTTAGCTTTATTACTAGTGAGATATAAATATATATTAAATTCAATGAATTAATGATATAAAAGTAGACGGGCAAAAAATTATATGGTGAAACCGGCGGTTTAAAATCGGACCAAACCGTTAGGTTTAGGTTTGAGTTTTTTTTAAACCGTTCAAAATGGTTTGGTTTAGGTTTGGGTTTTTCTCAAACCGTTTTAAACGATTTGGTTTGAAAATCTATAAAAAAAATCGGTAAAACCGGACCGCTTACACCCCTAGGGCAAACTGTGGCTAAATTTAAGGCTATGTTTGATTGGCATGAATTCCATGAAAAATGAAATTTAATTTCTACCCTAAACCAAAAATGAATGTTTGATACGTTTTTTTTTTTCCAGGGAATTCATTTTCCCACTTTCATGACACCTAAGCCATTTTTCATCAAATTGATGAAATGATGAGAATTCATTTTCTAGGCTACTGGACGATTTTTTATTTTCTATTTTTTTGGGGCAATGGAAATAAATTCTATCCCTAATTGTAAAAAAAAAATTTCTTTAATTGACAATTTTCATGTAAAACAAAGTCAAACAAATAACAAAAGATAGATAATTTTCTTGATTTTTTTTGACAATGGAAATAAATTTTATCCCCAATCTCAGTAAATAATATCCCTTTAATTGATAATTTTCATGTAAAATAAAGCCAAACGAACACCAAAAAATACTTTTATTTCAACATTTTCTACATGAAAAATTATATTAATCAAACACAATATTTGACAATTTTTAGTACAATAAGTTCTAGGCAATTCAACTTCCTGAAATTCATTTTCTTTCCGTCCAAATTACATCTTTGCAATCAAACGGACCCTAAGTTCTCATTTGACAACCATTATAAGATAACAAACTTTTTTTTCCAAATTATCTCTGTAATAATCTCCTAGTAGCAACAGTACTAGTAGCTCCCAAGTTATACATGGCGTCGGGTGGTGGATTGGCACCAAAGGCCACCCAACCCAAGAACCCTATTGTATTCTTAGACGTCACTATTGGCAACATCCTCGTTGGTTGAATCAAAATTGAGCTCTTCGTCTATATTGTTCCCGAACCACAGAAAATTTCAGGTAATACCCCCATCTCCTCTATCTCGAATGCGTGTTTTCAGTGGCACGAGCTTTTGGCAAGATGTTAGTGGCACTAAAAATTCGACTTTAGGTTACGGATTCAGCTTACACAATCAACATAGTCAAATATAACACACACATTCATCCTAGGGGTGAATATTTTGGACAGTTTGTGCCATATTTTCAGCTCAGGTCATTTTACGTGGTTTGTTGTGTGGTTTGATTTTAATACGTGGTTTACCCATTGATGTTATAGTAATATATGAAAGTGGTAATTGGGTCAAATAACCTACTTCATACTACATTTTGGGATTTTAGCTTTTGACCAAAATAAAATTTTTAAAATAAATATTTTAATTCATAACTTATAAACTACCTAATATACCCTCATTCAAAACCTAGAAAACGTAATTCCCAATTTCTCAAATTAGTTGAATTCATTCCTAAAACCTAAATCTAATAGTTCTTCTCTCGGTGGATGATCCCCAAACCAACCCTTCTTATTTTCTCTTTGTGGCTTCCTCATCTTCAAGTCCTACTACATTCAAAATCGGTTGCCTTCGTGTTCTTGAACGAAAGGAGGAATTTGGTATGAAGGTTTCGTCTATTTTTCAAGATTTATGGATTCGAAACTCGCTAAAGAGCTTCCGTACGTGAATGTCCACTTCAAGAACCAATTTCGTAGTGGGTTATCCTCGGGTATCAATGTTTCCTCAATTTTTCATTTTTACTTCGATTTATACGAATTTTTTTAGAGAAATTTGTGCAAGTAAGAACTATAATGATAGAATTGGCTTGTTTAAACCTTTATTTTATTCATGTTTCTTGTATGTAGTGATTAAGTTTTTATGTAACCTAAGACATAACAATGCCTTGTGGGTTGAAAAAACATTTCTTATTTCTGATTTCTATTGTTTCTGTTATATAATGGATATGCTTGCATCACCATTGAGGATGATATGCTTATAATTTGATGTTATTATCCTGTAAAACGTAGTCATCCTCGAATCTAGACTATGTTATTGTGGAAACCACAATTATTCCCCGCTATGGATCCATTTCATCCTGAATTGATCGGCATTTTTACAGAATGTAGAGCAATAACCTATTACAATTTAAAAGATATGATGCGATGTCATTGCATGACAATTTAGGAGATTTCAGAATAAAAGTAAGCACATACTATTCAAAAGTCTTAAAAAAATAAATAAAGGCCAAGATACAAAAACTTTTTGCATTTGATAGTCTTTTGTGAGGAATTATGAAGAATTAAATTGACGTTACCCAAACACATTGGTCACAAGAGGGAGTAATGTATTAATTACTAAACTGCAGAATTGATAATCAAGAAATGAGTTTGGATCGTGAAATCTGTGGCCAAGATATGACTCATGCAAATTAGGGCTCTGGTTAGCGATGCAAGCTTATCCAACTTTTTAAGTCTAAAAGTTGAAATTGAATGTTTGTTCTAAGTAATTAAATTCATGTTAGAATGTTTGTCATGGTTATGCTAGATTGTATGATTAATAGCTATCTTAATTTATGGGCTAATTTGTGATATGATGATTCATGATTTTAGTCCAATTAAACTGTGTCGTCTTGAGGCGTTTAATTAGTGTTAATTTGATGTGCATTTGTTTTAACTGATAAAGTTATGTTGTTTCAACTTATTTATCCCAAATGTGTCACATGTAATAAATAGGGCAATCTTTTTTACTTAATGTTCATAAAATGGAAAAAGAATTGATTGAGCGATTGCTATTGAGGCGTTGAGTTGTAAGTGAACTAATTCGTGGAACTAAAAGAACCGTAGATAGTATGCCTGAATCTGATTTCCTAGGTTTTTTCGTTATGAAATGGTTATTTAGATTATTCTTTTTATACAACGATTCTGTCTCATGTGTACAGGCATTTAATTATGGTGTACATATGAAAATGTCTGTCCTATAGTCCCACATAGAATAAACATATATTTTCCAGTTCATAAATGGGCTTATCTTAAATTAATCCTTAATATCTTGTGCCAAACTTATGTTCGTCGGGTGCCATGGACTGAATTTGATATCTTCCTTACTATTATTTTTTATCATTTCTTTCACTTAATATCTTATTTTTGATAAAATGTTTTCGAGTTTAATATGAGTAAGACAATCCATATGTTTCTGTTGTTCACTTTCATTCCGAAATGCACTTGTACTGAGTTTAGTAGTTATTTGGTTAGAGTATAGTTGGTTGAAAATTTGCAAGGAACAACAGTAATTCATAAACTATGTCATTTTAAT